TGTGAGATATGTTGGTGCAAATGCATGTGTATAGCCTGGTATATATAGAAAATAATGAAAGTATCGAAACTAAAATTCGTCATTAGCATGATTGATTGTGAGCTCTGATGAATATACATATTTCATTTTGCTGTTTCTTGAAGATAGAACGATTTTATCGAAAGGTTCGTTAAGTATTGTGTTAGTGCCTGTTATCTACATAAACTTAAATCGCTTTAAATTGAGAGTATTCAAAGTGACAGATGCCAGATCAAGATTCAATAGGTGAGACTTTGTCACTTCATACATCAACATCAATTGAGAGTATTCAAAATGACAGATGCCAGATCAAGATTCAACAGGTGAGACTTTGACACTTTACTCATCAACACCCAATGGAACCAATCCAACTACTAACCACTACGACTACCAACAACTATTCATAGTTTGCGATATTCACTATATTTTGGCAACCCATTTAGAAAAAAGTCTAATTCTTAGTAGATCTTTGGGTGATAACAAACACTCACGCCAAGTTTCGTCAAAATCTGTCAATAATTGAACTTTCTAGAGCGTTTACAAGAACAAGGGCAATACCTTATACTTTAAAAATTCGATTTTTCTGATTTTCGATCGGGGTCATCCTTGGGTGGTAACAAACATTCACACCAAGCCGAGAGAAAATCAAATCTTACTTTGGAATATCAACTTGGAAAGAATGTGTTCTTATATTCTTCAAACGGGCGGCGGCATAGCGATGTTGTGTTTTGTTAACATAACCTCATTCTGTTCTACCGATCTGAATGGTCTTATTTCCACTCCCCCAAAACGAAGTGTAGTGGGCTTAGTTTGATACGGGTTAATAAGACGATGTCAAAACCCGTATTCGTGATACGATGACTGACACTGAGACACCTTTCTTCGCAGCTGGACGTAGACGTAGACGAAGACGAAGACGAAGACAGATACTTATGTTTCTTCTGGAGTTCCACAAGGATCGGTTCTTGGCCCCCTTCTATTCCTTATTTATATAAATGACATTGCAAATGCTATTCATTCTAATATTCAGCTATTTGCAGACGATACATCTCTATTCCTTGTAATTGAAAATCATGTTGCATGCAAGCAAATAATGGACAGACTTACACGTTATTGGTCAGTGGGCAGAAAACTTGAAGATAACATTTAATTCCTTAAAAACACAATCTATAACCTTCAGCAGGAAAAAAGTTCCATCCTCCTTTCAATTGCATTTTCAAAACTCATTTCTATCAGATGTAAAATCTCACAAACATCTTGGTTTATGTTTTGACTCCACAGATTACTGGTCCACACACATCAATTCCATGGTTAAGAAAATCGAAAGCAAGAGACTCTCA